AGTTCATGAGCACGACTGGACTGAAGGTGCAGACTGCTATTAGTGTATCCAGAATCGTGGTAGTTTAATATACATATTAAACGCGACTGGACTGGTAGTGGCAAATTGGACATCACTCAGAATTTAAACCTAGCTGCACCTAGCCTCTCACTTCGGTGAAGAGCGTTAGAAAAGCCAAAAGCTAAACATACATTAAAAGCCTACAGAAGGCATAATGGGAAACCTGGATACAAAGGAGTCACTTCATCCTGAACAGTAAACACAACAAACCACAGGAAATAACTCTGCAGTTTGTAGTCACTGATACAGTATTGCATAGGATGTAGCTTTCTTTGAAGTACCAGTAATGCTGCATAGCATATGACAGTTTCACTATTTATGTAGTCATGCCTGCACTGAATGCTGTTTCTGTAGCCTGACAGCCACCTACCTCCCCATGCCGTACTCTGTCCTGTTATCATTGTGGGCATCCAAGTGCCGTTACTGTGGGCATACACTGGCCAGATATCATCATATCTGCCCACAGCATGGTTTGGTCCATTTAGAGTTGCATGCTCCTAGAATTAGCATAAATATAATATAACTTCAGACCTATAACTTCATTGTGTATTAACACCTGGATATCAGCAACAAAGTAAGAAACGAATAACCTCTCTCAGATGGGTCTTCCTCACTCTTCAACTCTATTATGAAGGTGACATTTAGTCTTGCATGCATTCAGGCTGCCAGCAAATCTGTGAATGAAACCGTTGTTCAACACTGCAGTTGTACTAAATAACTCTGTATGTTAGGGTACATGTTTGGATTTTCTGTTGTAGTGGTAGAGGTAGCACCTTAGACAGCAGTGAGCTTTCCAAGTCCTCTTCAGCCCACACACCGCAGTAAAACGCTAGCAGCACATTAGTGAGATACAGTTTTTCAATGGCTGAAATGCCAAACGTATCCCTTCCCTTCCGCTGTCTGACATCCCCACCACCGACTCCCATCTTCAATACGGTTCCTACCAGCAGGGTCTGCTGGTACATCCTTCTACTCTTCATATTTTATGGTCATGCCTTGAGTCGTGACAGGTTTGAGGGAACATCAGCTTTGCTGTCAAATAGCTCTGAAGGCAGCCTCAAATCCCTTCTCTGTGGCCTAAAGAATCTTACAGAATAACTGAATCAAAAACTATTTTGTCTGTTTGAGTTACAAAATTTATCATGATTTGGCACTTGTGAAGTAATCCTGCAGCAGACACTGTGCAACTCCAAGTTCCCTACATCTAATTGATTTTTATATTACTGCAGGCTAATAATCTCCATAAAGCTTCCAAAAAACCCAAGTGAGGATTTCGTTTTAGCACTTCAAAAAAGTACCCAAGCAAGCACCTCTCAGGCTGTAGCGCAGCCTTCAGCAGCATTGACACAGCAATACATGGTCAGACAGACCTGGAGAAAACAACCTAGCAAAATTTAAAAAAAATAATCGGAATGAATTCTCTGATCCAGTTCATTCTGTGTTCACATAGCAGAAGGAACGATATAACTGAGCAGAAGGAGCTACTCCAGCCACACCACTGTTCGAGAGAAATGCTGTGAGCTACATTGTACACTCAAAAAAATCACAAATATGTTCTGTCTGGCCCATGCCATTTTTAGTACTGAAAATAATAGAAAATGTGAGAAACTATCTTGTCCTTTTGCTCTGCACATGCGTGATCCTCATGAGTCAAGAAATAACTATAGACCATAATTTTCAGATAGTTCTTCCTGCATAAGAAATACTTATGCACAATGTCAGCAGGTCAAGTTTACTAATTTGTATCAAGGTATTGGTATTACCTTTTTTCCTACAAGATCACTGTCTATTGACTTTTCTGAAAATGGTATTTTTGCCTTTATAAAGAAGCAGCAGCAGTGTATAGTATTCTTTCATATGACTTTGTGTGAGTATGTATATAAAAGAAAGAAAAATATAGTTTAATTTCTGTTACAATGTCTCTTCATTTTATCATTTTATTATGCAGTTTATATTTTATTTACTTAAGAAGAGCCCTGAAGCCTGTGCCCCAAATAAACTCTTTTATTTTAACATGAAGGAAATATTTAAACGTCTGCTTGAATTAAATACAAGAACTAATAAGTTTAAGTATTATAAACTGAAAAAATACTATGTATAAATCTGAAATATACATAAACTAAAGCATTATCTTAGTTATCTTCCTCTTTCAGACACATCACTGCATGTACAAAACCATGTACCCCAAATCAATGTCTTCACTGAAGATACACTGAAAAAAAAATGGGAGCTTTGACTACATAGAAATATGATAAGAACTTCACAGTATGACCTATAGTTTCTACAGAAATAAATTAATGGATGGCATGCAGATGCCAAGATTAAATAGAGTAATAACAAAAGATTAGTAAGCACTTTTAATGTAATTAAATTTTTGATGTATTACAGTTTTTAGTGTGTAATTATTTTTGAAGGAACTGGAGGGTAACACTGGATCACACCTTTATTCAATGTAGTTACTAAAGAATAAAATGCAACAATTTTTTTAAATTCTATTGCAGAATAATAGTATATTGTCTGTCACATGTAATGATGGCAAGATTTTTCTCATTGGATAATCAGTCACAGTGATTACCTAATAAAAGGACAATCCTTGGTACTATAAGAACCTATGGTCAGTCCAGAATGTACACAAGCATTGAAATGTGCTATTTAAAGCATCTCAGCTTGCAAGTGACCTTGAATTTCTATTTCCTTACTGCTGGAGGTTGGGATTGTTCCATGGCTACCTTCCCAGTCTGCATCAAGGGGCTGCTGGTAACATCAGTCTTAAACACTGGTCTTTAAAACAATTTTTGATGTTGGCCTTGAACAGGTCTAATAATTTTGCTTAATCACCTCTGTTTCTACAAAAAAACTGGAATCTAGGCTGACTTCTCATTTTTCATTCTTGCTTTCTGTCTGCTAGCAAATATCTGGATTCACAATTAGATAAAATATGTCAGATGCCCTGTGACAACCAATCATCTTTATTGTATAGAAGTTCACTTTCAGCTTCGAGTAGAATAAATTCTATTCGACTCAGAGGTCAGTACTTGGGAAGAAAAATTAGAAGTGTGTTTATTCGCATAGTCAAATATGCAAATTGGATGCATCCAATTTGCACTCTTTGTCTTGTAATGAGAACGACCTTTTCTGCTGATGGGAAAAAGCAATTGAACTTGGGCATGTGAAAGTGATGAAAGAATAAGAAATTCCCCACCTCTAACAAAACAGGTCAACTGCTTGCTTCTGTGAATAAAAAAAAAATAATCGAGGTCATACTGAACCCTAAATCCCAGTGCTCTTTCATCTTTAGGGACACCCAGGTTAGGTTCAGTATCTGAATTTTGCTGCTTAGATGTATCTCTAATAACATTTATTACCTAGCACCCTTCTTCTTCACCATCCTTTACAAAGAATGTCTAAACACTTCTCCCATCACTAATGTGGCTCAAATTAACACCATAACATCAGTATAATTATTTTACATAACAAAATTTGAACCCTAAAAATTCAAAGATTAAGTGACTTGCCCAAGGCTGCACAGAGGACGTTACTACATCAGGACTGGAACTCAGTTGCATCTGGTCTTTGATCCTGTGTTCAAACACGTTAGATCAATACTGAAATTGAAATGGAAAGAAGCTGCGATTAATTTACAAAGCAACATAAGGATCACATAGCCTGTGTTGTTCTACTGCTGTGAATGCCAAAGAAGGAAATGAGACTTGCATATCGGTAGACAGGTAACAGCATCATTACTGCCATGTATTACTATACATTTGATTACCCTCTCTGCTGGGGGCGAGGGGGGGGGAGGTCGGTCTAATTGCCGGTATGCTTCTCTTCCTTTCAAGCTTACTTTCATCTGCAGACTCAAAACCAGGCAGTAGTATCACTGCATAGGTAACAGGTCTTAGAACTGGAACCACTCACATGCAGGACTCAGGATTAACTGAAGAGCTAGGAATTCAAACAAACATCTTGGCATCGTTTATAAGCAAGGGCACAGTTACTTACTCTTGTTGTTTCTTTTTCATTACGGTGCTGCTGGAGTCCCCCATCAAGGATCAGGGCCCCATATTGTGAGGATTTATTTAAACACTTAATGAAAATATGGCACCTGCAGTTAAGAATTTACTGCTGCAATTATAAGATGAAGAATAAAACTATCTCTTCAGTTGATTTCTGTAATCATAATATTCTAAACGATACTAACATGTACCTCATTTTAAGTGTGTGTTTTCCCATGCTTATGTGCAGGAATGGGCTGCAGCTTAACACCACCACTCTGAAAGTACAGACAAATGTGGGCTGTCCTAAAAATAGATATCCTACCTTTGCCAGCAGTAAGCAAGGAGGAAATTTCCACTGAGGACAAGAAAATTCAGGCTGTACAGAACCAGCCAGCTCCTTATGCATACACATACATATCCAGTTGTGCAGGGCTTTGTTCTTAATGTTAGCTTACTTATTAGTATGCTATTTTTTGCAAAAATGTTCAAGAGAGCAAAAAAGACAAACCCTTTCATGACAAACAATGTAATTACACAAAAAGGGCTTTTGTAATTGTTCCTGTTTTCACCTGTTCTTCAAAACCTATTTCATATTGGGCACAGGTGCAAATGCTTACAGACTGGGCAACAGAAGGAGCAGCTGTAGTTGTTAGAGTAATGAATTCTCCTTTAAAGCAGCATGGGAAATAACAGTCCTAACAGCTGGCTACCCTGACACAATGATTTTTTGTCATCTGCTAACAGTGTAGTTTCATAACTGGTTTAGGGTGATCTTAGTCTGTGCTGCCATTAGAAGGAACAGTTTTCTTCCCTTTCCCATTGCTAACTTGCTCTTTCTGTAGCTGAATCAGAAAATTAATCCAGCCCAGTTGAAAAGCTTCTTAGTTTCACTTAGATCAAATTGTGGATTTGGTGGATTATGCCACAAGTCCTGGTGTTAACATGAAGAAGGATGAGCAAATGTATTACCTGGACAAGTGCATGGCAGATCGAGGTCGTCCTAAAGTAGCTACAAAACTGTAGTTTTGAAAGATGGTCGTCACTTGAAAGGGATGTTAGCAGGTGTAGGTGTAGATTAGGGTGGCTTCTAGTGCCGGATATGTGCCAGACACAAACTGTGTAAACATTAGGCTATTCAAGCTCATGTGCATGTGGTTTTGTTTCCCTGCCTTGTCCTTGTGTACGACCCACCTCTCTAGGTATCTACAATGCAGTTGCCTGCATCTAAGCCAGTCATGCAAGGCTCCCTTTTAAATCAGTGGAGGTCTAACCATCAGGTTAATAGAGTCTAAGGCACTGTCCATCTCATCCTGAAGCAGAAGTCTAAAATAGATTAGATGAGATTTTTCTCTAAAAGTGACTATTTCTCTGCATTTGACTATAAGCAGAGAGTAGGGTGACTGGCTCTGCTGTAGATGTCAGTCTAAACTGAGGGAGAACTTCTCTATCTTGTCTGTCAGGGTTAAATCATTGTTGCTGTTTCAAAGTACTTTGAGAGAATGGTGTTTAACTAGAGATGTGGTACGCACAGTCCACTGCTGCACTCTGATTATGGTCAGGTAAGCAGAGTTCCTGAACAGGAACTGTACATTAAATTAATACTATATTACAAGCAGTAACATCATGCATTATAGGAACTGAGATTAAGATGTGGAACGGCAACCGACATGTATAAACTGGTATCATTGTTACAGTGTAAGTTCCCAGATCCAAAGTTTGCTGTCATCCCAGAAAGACCTCAAAATACTCCATTTTATTTGGCTCAGATACATATCATATTTTGCATGTTTAACAAAGCCTCAGGAAAAATGCAGTAAGACTTTTGTTAATTGCTAGGAGCACCCCACTGAGCTAGAAAAAGCTGCTGGTGGAAAGTAACTGTCCCTGACAACAATTACCTTACACCATGTATAAAACAGACAGTGTAAGCAGTGGGATGAACAGTAACACTGCACATTACTACTGGTGCGATTGCTCCTGTGTGAGTGGCACAGTACTTATTCTTGCCAGTGTTTTCACTTTTTATAGCTAAATAAATAAGTAAAGGGTGATTTTAACAAAGTAACAGTAACTGTTAATTTTACAGGCTTTGTTTTGTTTTGAATGTGTAAGCATTCATAGGTATTTATTCCGGAGTGTCACTCCTACTTCCAAGTATTCTTATTTTAAAGTTGCCTTGTCAGAATTAAATAGCTAATAAAGACTGATCTTCAGGGAACAGAATTACAATTGGTATGTTAAAGCTAAGCAATTAACAACAAAGGAGAAAGAAGATAGGAAAAAGGAAATGTGCCCTGTTAAATATTTACATTTTTTTGATGAAAACTGCCTTACAAATGACAATATAATACAAGTGTTCCTTACATAAGGTCAGCATTCAGCATAGAGTGAAGTCTCCCATAGAGACATAAATTTCTTGGCACAGAAACTTTGATTATATAAATTTCATATAGGAAATGCAAAGTACCATATTGTGGGACTTTGATCAATGATGCTATCCTGATTTATAATCGTGTGTTTTTAACCAGTGATGTGCACAAAGCACTAATTTAAAAGCTCATTTTCGTTGCAACCTACATCTTCCTTTAAATAACAAGAAAGTCATCTGACTACATTTTTTCAGTCATCCTTGTGTCACATATTAGATAATCTCCTTATAGTTTAAAACTAAAAATGCTAATGGATTGGGGAAATGGGTTTCTGCTTTCACTCGGCATATCTGTCTTTTTTATGCTTGTCTTCTGGATCGTTTATCTAAATAATAACCTTTAGTACCCACTCCTTCCTTCCAATGAACTAAAAGACATTAATGATTAAAGTCAGTGAATGCACATCTTTTCCCTACTCCAGTTTTGCCCACTGAGGTTACCACTTTGTTATGGGTTTGCACGGCAAGGTTTTGGTAGTGAGGGGGCTACAGGGGTGGCTTCTGTGAGAAGCTCCCAGAAGCTTCCCCCATGTCTGATAAAGCCAGTGCCAGCCGGCTCTAAGACAGACCTGCTGCTGGCCAAGGCCAAGCCAATCAGCAACGGTGACAGTGCCTCTGGTATAATGTGTTTAAGAAGGGGAAAAAAAACTGCGATAAAACAGCAGTTGAAAGAGAGGAGTGAGATAATGTGAGAGAAACAACTCTTCAGACATCAAGGTCAGTGAAGAAGGAGGGGGGAGGAGGTGCTCGAGACGCCAGATCAGAGACTTCCCTTGTAGCTCGTGATGAAGACCATGGTGAGGCAGTTTGTCCCCCTGCAGTCCATGGAGGTCCATGATGGAGCAAATCTCCACCTGCAGCCCGTGGAAGGGACCCCACACCAGAGCAGGTGGATGCCTGAAGGAGGCTGTGACCCCGTGGGGAGCCCGTGCTGGAGCAGGCTCCTGGAGAAGTTCATGGAGAACTGTCTCCCATGGGAGGGACCCCACACTGAAGCAGAGAAAGAGAGTGAGGAGTCCTCCACCTGAGGAGGAAGGAGCAGCCGGGACAACATGTGATGAACTGACCGTAACCCCCGTTCCCTGTCCCCCTGCGCCACTTGCGGGGAGGAGGGAAACAAACAGGAGTGAAGCTGAGCCCGGGAAGAAGGGAAGGGTGGGGGGAAGGTGTTCTAAGATCTGGATTTCTTTCTCGCTATTCTACTCTGATTTGATTTGTGATAAATTAAATTTCCTTTTCTCCCCAATTTCAGTCTGTTTTGTCCGTGACAGTAGTTGGTGAGTGATCTCTCCCTGTCCTTGTCTTGACCCTCAAGCCTTTCATCATATTTCCTCTCCCCTGTCCAGCTGAGGAAGGGGAGTGATAGAGCGGTTTTACTGGGCCCCTGGCATTTATCCAGGCCAAACCAAAACACACTTTCAGCCGCTTCTTCTTTTGGGGGAGGGGGCGAGCTACAGACATCCCCTTGTAGAGCTACTCATATGGTTACTTCCTAATTTATCTTAATAAAAAAGCCTCAGTTAGCTTAAACTAACTGTAGGTCTCTTTTAACGAGTATCACCCATCAGCACTGACTGAAAGGACGTTGATCTCAGTGACTAAAAGAAAGCAATTATATGAAAAACTCAGCAAACAACTTTCCGTCAGCAAATCTGTCTGGGCAGCCCCAGAAAAGCAGCAGTAATAAGTCCCCTCAAGGGAAGGTGCTGTTAGTGGTAACTTCTTCAGTAGGCAAACCTGGAGAAACAGGAGGATATATTTGCATGGCCTTCATCTCAAAATGAGGGAAGATAACTCATTTTGTACTAAAGCAGCATGGAGAAGATAAATGACCAGCCCCAGGTCAGGTACAAGGATTGTGGAAATCATGGGAGTAAGTGCCAGGACAGATTTTTTCCAGAGGATTTGTGTAGTTCAGTTTTCATCATGCCTGACTTAAGACATTGTACATGGACCAAGCTTTCAGAAATTGCTTAGCACGTACCCTCTGAAAAAAAAAAGCCAACAAGAATCCAAGCAACAAGGATGTATCTTTAAAACACTGAGGAAATCACTTTCCTCACCTACCAATACCTTCTGAAATGGAACTGGAGCGCATTTGAAGAGCCAACAGCTTGGTACTGCCTTGAGACTTGGAAAGTGTATTCCAGGGGCAAAGTACCCTTCCACAGACAATCTCTCCCAGCACTACCCTTTCATACAAGACCAAATTTTATTTCTGATCCCAGTGGTGATGGTATGACATGGGAGGGACACAATACCTCAAGCAGATGGATGCCATGCTAGAGACTCACAGCAGAGTCTTCAAGTAACTTGCACTGTTCTGAGGCTCTCACTGCTTACAATAAACTTGTTCTGGCACGAAGCTGTCAGTCTGCACAGCCAAAAAAGGCTTGGGATGGAAAGTGATATTCTTACATGAATCAGGTTGTTTTCTCCATTGATAAGAACAAAGAAGGACCCTATGAGCTCAGTCTAAAAGTCTTTCTGGTGCTGCTTTGATACTTCCCGTGGTGATAAATAGCACAATATTCTCAACAGCTGCAAATTACAAAAGAGCTAGAATCTACCTATGTGCATTATGTAGTTACTAAATCACATTTTCATGGCATGTGGGAGGTGACCAGGACACAATAGCAGACAGACAGCTAAAGGAATTGTATTCCGCTCATTCTGCTGAGGGGAAAAAAATAATCTATGAATATAATTTAATAGGAAAGGAAATCTGTTAACAAAGATTACCTCAGCAGGAAGCAAAAATTTACTGAAGCAACATTTCTGCATGAACTTTCATTTCCAGTGAATCATGCCATTATGTTCAATTTCATTCTAAATGCAAAACCTGCCCTTGCAGCTTGTTCTCTGCTGTGGAATCACTGTCAAAACAAAGAACAATTACAAAATGTTCCCTCAATTCAGAATTCCTATTTGGCAAGTGACGCCCATATGATGCAGTGATCTATATATGAAATTTGTAAAATGGAAACTGGATTTCTCCCTTTTCTGGTATTTAGACAACACAGGAAAGTTGGAAAAGTAGCTCACATGAGTTTCTAATTAGTCACATTTTAGATATTAAGAAGACTGTATTTACCAGGTACTTGAAGCCAAATTGGTAAATGTAAAATAATAAACCACAATATTCTAGGATAGTATCTGAAATATTTGTTGTAATGTATTTATTTAGGTATGGCATCCCTAGGTTTGAATGCTGAATTAGTCTATTAAGCAGATCGAGATTTCTTTCAATACTACATTTTCTTCATGATTATATTTTGACTGCAATATTGCTTTAATTCTTAGAAAGTTTTTTTACTTCACAAACAGGTGATAATAATTCTGTCTGTGTATTTTTTGCAAAAGTAGCATGCCCATTCTCACCCAAATTTGGGATTATGGAGTTCAGCAATATACATGCTTTCCACATTTTGCTTTGTGACATGGAGTACTGAAGAAGGCAAATATTGACATTTTCTTTCTTTGAAGATAAGTGAAATTTCCCATTATTGGAAAGCTCTGTTGCCCTGAATGACAAATTACACAATGAGACAGAAGGAAGATGCAAATCTTGGACTTTTAAAAGCATCTAATATTTTCTCAAATTATATTCAGCTGTATTTATCTAGCATTCTGGCATGCTGCTGGATTACTGTTATCAATAAATCCATAAATAGGATGCAAAATGCATGTGAGCTGTCTGTGCATGAATAAAGAGCGGCCCAGCAATAAATTATAGCATAATATATAGTTTAAAATGTAGCAAAAGGAATGCCTTGACAAATGAATGCAACGTATTTTGTCACTAGGGGTGAAAGATTCATTACGCATCAGCCTTGTGAAAGCTGGATTTCTGAAGCATGGGTCATCTAGGACATATGATGTAATGAGAGAATATGGAAACATGCATAGAAAGACAAAAATAATCTTCTAATAAAACCATATTAAATTTTAAGGTAAAATAGAAGTCCCATGCAGTACTACACTGTTCAAGAGAGGTCAGCAGTGCAATACCAAAGAACAAAAGAGTGAAGCCTGACTTCCTATAGATTTGGTCCCCGCAGGAGATGAAAGACCAGCCCTTTTCTTGAAACGAGGTCATGTGCGCTGGCTTTCATTTGTGTTTTCTGGTGTCTGCTCAGGTCTAAGCTCATCTTGTAGCACTTTGTTCAGCTGAGAAATTTGTTCCTCCACCCAGCCACCTATGTTGATGAAACTTGGGGAAATTCAGTGTTTTGCAGAACGCCAGGTATCTGCTAGAGATGACTGAAGATGGCACTAGATTTTGAAGTTGGTGGTAGGAGAGGACGTAGACACAGACACACAGACCCAGCAGGTTGAATAACCCTGGAGTACAGCAGAAAGACTAAAAATAAGACCTACTAATTGTTTTAGCAAACTGCCATGGGGACATTTAATTCCCTCCGATCATGTAAATAACAGACAAGTTGTCACCTGCTGTGCACGCCGGGCCAGGCAGAGCAGGGAGGATCCCGTCCCTATGGCAGGGGCCACCGGTCCCAGCAGCTGCGTCACCTTTTCCCGTTGTGGATGGAAAAGCCCAAGAGTAGTTAGGCCCGGACAGAGGCTGTGGACATGGACATCGTCTCTGGTGTGCTCAGGGGCAGACACCTGAGCTCGGCAGTGTTGGAAGGGGCTTAAAAGGGGGGACTGGGCAGGTGGAGGAGAGGCCGGGGTGCTGATGTCCCTCGGCTCCTGCCGTCTCCAGAGGCGCTGGCGAGAGCCTCATACCCAGTGGGCCTTAGGGCCTTGCGACCGCAGCCAGGGATATGAGGGATGAATTGTTCCAGTTCCTTCTGTAAGAAGAGGGACGAGCCTTCGGTTTTCTTAAATATACATACAAAAAAGAGGGGATCTCTAGCGGCTTTGGTAGGAGTTTCACGTCAGCTGCAGTGAGCAGGTCACCGTCCCCTCAGACCT